AACGGTCAAAATTCAAAGTTATTCATTTTATAGACTATAACACTTGGATGTGATTATCTACAACTTTTATCTGAAAACTTTTTGTCTAAAATAGCTTATAATGGAATTATGGACAATTTTTAAAATAGCCGAAATTTGTTTTTTTCTAAATATCTAGTAAGCCATGAACTTTTTCAAAAATCTGAAAGGCGCATATTTATGACTCCACAAAACTGCAATTCTTTCCCCATTTAACCGACTCTCTATCTCCAGTAGTTTCCGAGATACCCATAGAGAACATCATAGGAAACTCACCCTGTATATTATATTCATAGGATATGTTTCCTGAAATTACATTCTAGCTTTTAGAATCTCCTCATATAAATTTTAGCCAAGAACATTTAGAACAATATTAGAAACGAAAAATATAAAAAATGACTTATTCTTTAGCTTCATATTTTTAAATTATTAATTAATTATATTAAAATAGGTCTATTTTCCGTTACAAAAGCCCAAAAATTTCTGAAATCACTCAAATAACACACTATAGCTAGGTTTGAGCCTCAGCTGGCTAGGCTTGGTGCATTTCAGCTGATTTCAAAAGTTTTTGCTATGTATTTCACGCCGTCCCGGTTATAGTTCATGTTGATCACATTAAAATAATATTAAAATCGTGGCTTTGTCATAATATTTAAGTATTTTAGTTTTTTGCTAGCGCAGTTATTAAAACTACAGAACACTCAGCTACGAGGTTAATGTGCTGTAACGCTGTTAAGGGTACCTACTGTATGATCAAAAAAAAAAAACGGCGTCAGCGATGGCTATGAAATGAAGATCCATGTGAATTTATATGTAAAATTATATAGGAAATGTCATGGTCATCATTTCCCAGCCAACTGGACGCCGTTTTTTTTTCGATCATATGGTACTATGCTATTGTTTATCTGTCTCGTCTCTACTGAAGCAACGAGTTGCTCTAGAAAGTTGCTTTTTCTACTAAAAAATAGCTAATTGGCTCTCCTAAAAACTGTCGCCGCCGGATTTTTGTTTTTCATTTAATTAAAAAAAATAAAAAGTATTTTTTCCTGATGTCATGGCGGATGCGCCAGGCTTCAACTAGTACTATATAAATTGCAATATTAATGTTATACTCTTTTTTTAATCAACTAGTGCTTAAATTATTTATGAATATCTCTAGAATTTTAATTATGTACTTTCAAAAAATTTCGTTATAGGTGAAATAGCCCAAGTTATGATCCCACTAGCAAAACTATGCTCGCTACCGTAGCTGAACTCATCTAAAAAGTATTATTAACTTCATAAATAAATTATAATACAAGTTAAGCCTTCTGAAGATATGAAAATATTTACTTTTCTTATATATTTTTTAGAATTTTTACAAATTATACTTTCTAACACTTTTAGAATAATTATATAAACTTATTTTTGTATACTCGCTATTTAAACTTGTCTATTTGTATATACCGATCGTTTAGGATATTCTCCGATGGTGGCAGCACCGGCGGAGAATGCACCAAGTTTTTGATTTTTGTATTTTATTAGACATTGTCAAAGACCGTAAACACTTAAGTATATGAAATATAACTGAAACCATTAACTTATTTCACTAATTTCGAGGTTCTGAAGGAGGCTTTAGTGTTTAACTTTTAATAAATTACGTCTAGGGATTGATACGACAAAAATTATCATCGATAACATCAAGATCCACTCTATGACACCGTTTTTTTATCGTTTGGTATTGAGAGCAAAAAGCTGTTACATTTAAAAGAATCAAAATTGTGTTTTTGGTCTAATTACGGCGAACAAATTCCTCAAATAAGATAAATCGAAATAAAAGATATTATGAAACATAAAGTACCTATACGTGTCTCCGAATGTCCCTGGTATTTTTACAAAACATTTCAACTTTTACTATCAAATGTAACGGGGCATGCCAATGCCTCCTTTAAGACACATTCAATTGCTATCGTTTGTTTACGCACAAAGCGACTAACAAAATAATTAATTAGACTGGCTCTTGTTATTATCGGTCCGGCGGACTATGTATTTTACGTTGCGGAATTAAAAGCCAGTTCTAAATACTTAACAGCGATTGCGACATAATTGAAGGAATTGTAACAAGGAAAATGTACAAATCGCCTTTTTTCAACGAAAAATTTTAATGTTCTCGATTTTAAACAACATGTATTGTCAGTTCAGCGATCTTTCAACGTTACGTCATCATTATTTGTTAAGTTTGCGTTTCAAGGTGTCTCTGAGATCAGTTCATATTGTTTAAAAAATTTAAGTAGGTACGTTCAGAAATTATTAATTGAGGGAGTTCCGTTTTTATTAAATTCATGTAGGGTACGTTAGGCCTTGATTCATTATCTTTCAAAAAATTTGTAATTTTAGGCGCATACACCAGTAGGCGCATACACAAGATAAATCGTATCTTCTATTTTAAACATTTATGAAAAAAAATTGAGATTCTACAGGGTGCGTCTCAAAAGTGGCTCACTCCTATAACTTTTTTTATTTTTTCAGATAAAAAGACGAAATTTGGTATGTTAGTATACGACATAAATTAGGGTTGATTGACGTACCTATTCAATTGTTTTCGGCCACTTCCTGTTTTACCGGAAATGACTACAACTTTTGATTTTTAAATGGCACCCTCGGTATTTTCTTACTTTATTCGAGAGAAAATAACACTCTGTATATCATATGTCAACTTTTGAAATTTTCGAATATGGTTTATTTGAAATTGCAACATGCGGTTCATAATTACAATTTGACTCGAAATACCAAGTGTGTGGTATTAAATTATTCGTAAAAAATGCTTTTTCCAATGCTAATGAGCCACCCTCGTTCCATTTGGAAAAATTGAGATATGATTAAAAATAAGATTTAGGCATCTTTTAACCGGCCAGGACAAAACATTAAACATATTTATTTATATTTTTTATTAGATGATCAAATCTATTTTTCAAGGCTCCTTGACTAAAAATTAGTGTTTTTAACATAACCATGGCACTCTAGATTGACATTTAAAATACAATTTTGTTTTAAGCCAGAATGTCAAAAGTTCTGTTTTCTCTCGAATAAAGTAAGAAAATACCGAGGGTGCCATTTACAAATCAGAAGTTGTAGTCATTTCCGGTAAAACAGGAAGTGGACGAAAACAATTGAATACGTCAATCAATCTTAATTTATGTCATATACTAGCATACCAAATTTCGTTTTTTTATCTGAAAAAATAGAAAAGTTATAGGGGTGAGCCACTTTTGAGACGCACCCGGTATACTTAAAATACACGATGATACTCTATAGATGTTAAATTAATAAAAAATTGAATTTCAAATTAAAAATTCAAAAATTCCGAATTAAAAATAGTTTGACACCGTCATCAAATTTTAATTTTGACATAGATCGATGTCCGTCAATAAAATCTTAACTCCAAATCAAATGACAATCACAATCGTGCTCTGGATACGCGTTGAGCACATATTGGCAACATCACAATTTCTAATGTAGGTAATAGTCAAAAGTTGATAACTGACGGATGTAACAATGAAAAATGTCAATGTTACGTGAATTTCATAACCTATTGTTGAGTTATGTCAAGCTATTTTTCTATGAATATGTCATTATTCTTATTATACGAGGGAAGTGTTAAAGACACTTCTCAGCATTTTCGATGTTTTGAACAATATTTATAGCTGCCAAGTCGTAAATTATCAATTACTGATCGAAAATTACTACTTCTTCTATAAATGCCTCAATAAGTAATTGATAATTTACGACTTGGCAGCTATAAATATTGTTCAAAACATCAAAAATTCTGAGAAGTGTCTTCAACATTTCCCTTGTATATTAAGAATAATAACTTATCCATAGAAATGGCATAGGTTGACATAACTCAACAACAGGTTATGAAATTCACGTAACATTGACATTTTTCATTGTTTTATTCACATTTGACTATTAGATACCTACGAAATTGCGATGCTGTCAATATGTGCTCATCGCGTATCCAGAAAACCGATTCGCACGGCAACGAGAATACCAATATCGACTGCTTGGCGTTCCGCTAATCGCATACTTTCGCTCACCGCTTTGAAAGCGTAACGTTTTTATGTCAAAGTTACAGAATTCCGGCCCTAGTCATTTCCGATGAAACAGGAAGTGACCGAAAGTAACAACTAATATATCAAATCGTTTTTTTTATCTGAAAAATAAAAAAGTTACAGGGGTGAGCCACATTTGAAAAATACCCGGTATAGCATAAAACACAGAAATAGTAATACTTATTATCACTTTTAAATGCATACAATTTGCTGACACGTACATTAGGTAACACGTACACAATAATTAATCAAAACTTTTTTCTAGTGATAAATACAAAAGGTCATTTGCGAGTTCAATTATCAACAAATAAAAACAATAAATTAATCACCGTAGAAAAAATAGACAAATTACAGTAATCTTTAATGCGTGAACAGGTAAAAGAAGTTGTGCGAAAGCTTTGATTGATCGATGACGGTTATAGAGAAACTTTCGTTTTATTTTATTTATCGTTTGGTTTTAAGATTGCACACGTGCATTATATTTCTGATTTATAGATGATTGGTGTGTCAAATATATAATTTCTATCTTGCAAAAGTTATTAATGAGATCTGTGTAAATTATGTGAATATTTTCAAAGCAATATCAAAACAATAACAGGCAAAATAATTTTAATGTATTCTTCCTGGAAATGCTGCCCTTAAAAACACACAAACTACCCCTCATTTTTTATAGTATGTACTAGCATTTGTTAAACTTATTATTTGACGTCTTTTATACCTTTTCCTGTTTTACATACGTTATTGGAATTATTTATCAGCAATATTATTCATCCAGAATAACTCTCCGATTTCCGGTGAAATTTTCATATTTTTCTATCTTTTTAATCTGACTTAAATAGACGAAACCCCAATAATATAGCACAACTATACACATAGTGAAAATACACTTACCAGGTAGTTTGGTGTGTACTTTTCCAGATGGAGCTGGATTTTTGAGCCGTTGTGGTGGATGCTTTGGAATGACCAGATGAGTTTTCACGCTCAAATCAACCGGTTCCATTTGGACTGGAGGACCTTCTGCCTATAACAAAATACGCATTAAACTAAAATAAAACTTACTGTTTATCTAATATATAAAATTTGCGGAATACAACAGGCCTCTCGATAGGACACATGGCTGTCAAGTGTTACCTGAACAAGCTCAACCTGTATCAAGGAAGTCTTTGCTTCAAACTCTGCGATAAAGATCCTGAAACAGCGGAGCACATAATATGTCATTGCGAGGCTCTGGATCGCAAGCGACACTTTTTATTTGGGAAAGCTAGGCTAGAACCGGAGGAACTATGCTCCCATCCTTTCAAGGACCTGCATAAGCTAGTGCAGGGCACATGGATAGGAGAATGGGTGCAGATATAGAAAGGGGACAAACACAATAGGCCTCACAGGTCGAAGTGTTTCCGGTAAAGGACGGCCCCTTGTTATGGGGAAAAATATATAAAATTCTCGTGTCACAGTTTTAGTTACTATATATAGATTTTGATGAAACTTTATATGTATATTCAGTAAGTCTGAGAATAGGTTGTTATCTATTTTTTATACCCCTATGCAGAGCTGCAAGCTCACAGAAAACCTAAATCTTTTTTGATTTAAATCATTTTAAATTTAAGCTGACTTAAGACTTAAAATTTAAGTCTTTTTTAAAACGACTTGTGATTTAAATCTTTATTCGGAAACAGAAAAATCTTTAAGTTTTTTAGAAAAGACTTCAGTCATTAAAAAGACGTAAGTATTTTTAAAAAAGGCTTAAGTCAAATTTCTATATATTTTTATGATACAAACCAAACAGCAGAATAAAAAAAATGTAATGGTAATAAGTACTAAAGTGGTTGTTATGGCGCAAACTTTCAATAGCAAAACAAACAAATAAATGACAGTTTTGAATTTCTCGTTCGCTTTTTCGAATTTATATAACATAGAAAGCTGTTTATATAAGATAACACAGAATGTTTTCGGAAAGTTCTGATAATGAAGACTACTTTAATATTGGTACTCCACCAGAACTTACAGAAGCCGCAAAAAGAGCAGAAGCCAGTTTACTTCCAGAGAAAAGTAGGGGGCGATATGAAATAGCATTGAAAGTATGCGAAAAATGGTGTGCCGAAAGAAATGCTAAGAATATTGATTCGGAGAGAGTCTTGATGGCATATTTTAGCGACATGGCAAGGCAGAAAAAGCCATCTACTCTTTGGGCTACGTACAACATGATACGGACAATGCTAGAATTAAGGGAAAAGACTGACATATCAAAATATCACAAACTCGTCGCTTTCTTAAAACGCCAGAAAGGTTTTAAGCCAAATAAGTCTAGCATTTTTACCAGGCAAAACTTGGAGGATTTTCTCACGAAAGTAACTCAAGAATTCCTTCCTATTAAAGTAAGGATTTTATTTTAAATGTTTTCTTTTTCTGTTTTTAAATATTACTTTTCATTGTTTTAGGTTGCGCTTATAGTAGGTGTGTCTGGGGCATGTCGAAGTGATGAGCTACTGAAGATGAGAACTACGAATATTGATATTTTAGAAAACAAAATTTGCCTAGAAATTCCCGATACAAAAACTTATAAGAGCAGATCATTTATGATAACTAACACAAGTTGGACAGAAATTTTGAAAGAATTTAAACAGTTACGAAAAGATATTGAAAGTGAGATATTTTTTGTTCAATATCGACTAGGAAAAGCTCGAAATTCAACCCTTTACATACAATTCTATATCTAAATTTTCGTACAAAATTGCTAACTTTTTGAAACTTCCCAATGCGAAAACCTACACAGGTCATGCTTTTAGACGAACAGCGGCTACGTTGCTGGTAAATAATTATTTTTTACAGCTGAAGCGTCTAGGGGATGGAAATTCAGTGTTGTGGCTGAGGGTTATGGGGATGCATCTGTAACCAACCAAACTAAAACCCCAAATATGATATCTTCAATGACATCGTTGCCATCGCCTTCCTGTAGCAATTCAAATTCTTTACCTTCTTTCGTTGATATTAGAAGACCTGACACAAGTCAGGAGTTAAGTTTTTGCAGCAGTGAAACCTCAATAAGTGAAACACATCATCAGGGCGGCAACTTAACAATATCGACTAACGCGTACAATAAGTCAATTTTGACCATTAATTTCAACAAATAAATGCAGTAATATCTTCAATTATTATTGTTAATCTTCTTATTTATTTTTGTTGATGTTAGATAAGTATTTAATAAAGATATTACAAGAATATTTTGCTTAATTAAATGAGGCGAGAAATAAGAAAAACCGAGTGAGGGAATCACCCATTTCCCTAGGGAAATGGATGAGGGAAATGGGTGAGGAAAATGGGTGAGGGGAATGGAAGAGGGAAGAAATGTAGATAATTTGACACTTTCAAATTTTTTAAAAGTCAGTAATGTCAGTAATATGTGGTTGTCAATAAAATTTTTTATATCATTTGTAGGTAACTTTCGCTTTGTCAGTAAAAAGTAGAAAGAGTCTACTACCTAGTAACAGATACAATTGTCACTGTCATGTATCTTTTCGTTTGTTAGACTACAGTGATAATTTCATTTTCAATTCTATTGCAATGTTTATTTTTAAATTCGGTGTTTAGAGACCAATAACCGTGTTAGCCAACAAATCATTTTGAACATGACACCATTCATTTGGCGTCATTTATTAAAAAAGCCTGCTAATTATCTCTTATAACAGGATAAACTTATCCATTATATCGTTAATATACACCTTCTAACGTTTAATAGACGAGATCTTGCTTTTAATTACAGCTTTAATGGTTTCGAGGATGAGGATACAGAAAGCGAGATGCAGTATAAAGTGGCTCAATCTTTTATATTTATCAGATGTTGTTAGTTTAATATTACATAAATATAATAAAAATACTAATTTTATAGATATATGATTTAGTATAATAGTTTTTTGATACACAACAACTATAGTTTCCCATCATTTCTATTAGAATATTTTTAGCGGTCGAAGAGTTTGCTTGATCATAAACCTTTTTGATCATATAGTTAAGTGGATTTCAAAAATAGTATCTACAGGGTGGGCCAATGCTAGAATAACGTTAATTATTTTATTTGATTTCAGAATTACGAAAAAAATTATATAGAACATTTTTCCGCAATGTTAAGGTACATTATTTAAAATAACTTTAGACTATACAATATCGACAAGAAGAAATAGGGATCAAGATCAGTCTTGGGTTCGTCTTGTGTGCTGTATAAGTTGTAGTGTGCATCTGGTTCAGAGGCTGAAAGGCCAGAGAAAAACTATGCCATTTGGTGTTTCTATGATATGGAGAGAACCTACTAATCATTTTAATGACTACTATTTCTGTCTAACAAATGTTAAAGGTTATTCAAAGAAACAGAAAGATAAAGTTGAGTATCCAAACTTGCCATTTGCAGGGCCTGTTCCTCATGTTATAGGTATATTACTAGGACTTCAAGATGGTTTTATGAAGTTATTTTTTGTATTTCTGGGATAGTCGGGCAACAAAGCAACTTTTCGTAAAAAAGAATGACCCCCCAAAACATCCTTTAACCAGGTACAAGTACGTAAACTATCTATACCACTTGTTGATCCAAAGCGTGCTACTTCAACCCCTCCATATTAAGTTGAAACTGATAAAAAAAATTGTAATGGCCATGGACATTGAAAGTGAAGGATTTAAACATCTGAAAACATTTTTTCTACAAATCAGTGATGCCAAGCTTATAAAGGGTATTTTTATTTGGCTTCAAATAAGAAAGCCCCTTAAAGAGCTTGCCTTTAAATAAAAACTCAGAGTTCAAAAAGAACTAAGAGCTTGACATTTTCTTGTAAATGTAGTTAAAGTGTTCTTAGGTAATAAAAAAGAAGAAAACTATGAATTACTCGTACAAGAAGTTTTAGATGCTAGCAGTCACTCGGATGTTGTATGTCCCTAAAATTCTTTTTCTTCACTCACTTTTGATTTTTTCCCGAAAATCTCGGTGAAGTCAGTGATGAACAAGGAGAGAGAGATTTCACACGATTATTTTCAAGATTCCAACATCCTTCATCGTCGGAATACAGTTATGATGGGCGACTACTGCTTCCGACGTCACATAAAAGAAAGAAATAACGCTTTTAAGCATGTTTCCGTATTTTATCGTTTAATATGTAGTTATATTGATGTAGTACACTTTCATTTTATACAATATAATGCATATAAAACTTATTATAAATTTTTTAATTTAATATAATAATGTAATATGATACTTTTTAAATAAAAATGTGAATTTGTCTTTTTATTGTTTATCTTCATCTAACAAAAAAACTGTACGTGTTCGCTTGTTATTTTTATTTTTAATAGTACAGAATCTGATATAATCAACTATTGTCATCAATGTTAGAAATGAAAAGTTTGAATTTGTCGACCTGTGTTATTTTTATTATCCATGTTTGAATATTCTTTCATATAGGTATAAACTGTTCTTATAATGTCCGTTTTAAGTCTCCAGGTTTCGCATGCATAGGTCATGACCGGTAGTACACATTGGTTGAATGTTTTCTTCTTTAGATAAAGTGGCATTATAGATTTGAATATGATTGAGTTTTTTCCGTAAGTGCTCCATCTTAACTCAATTCTTTTTATGATTTCTGGTAGTAGATATCCTGAGCCGTGTATTAGTTGACTCAAATATATATGTTCTTTTCATTAGAATGTCTTTGCTGTCTGCTAGTTCCTTGTACATTACTTTAGTTTTTGCTAAATTCATTTTGATACCTACTTTACTGCTGGCTGTATTTAGTTCGTTTATTTGTGCTTGTAGTTCTTCAGGACTATTTGCAATTAGGACTATGTCATGCGCGAATTTTAGATGGTTAAGATATTCTCCATCTATTTTTATTCCTTTGTTGGCCCAGTCCAGTTGACGGAAGATTTCTTCTTTGAGGCTTTGGAAAGATTGCGTCTATTGAAACAGCTTTGGGGATATTGCGTCTCCCTGTCGTACTTCTTTACCAGTTGGGAACTCTGGGGTTGTTTTAGTTGTTTTATATA